GCTGAGTAGGCCTAGCCACGCGGTCAGCCCACTACACAATAGAGGGTAAGTTGCTTCCTCCGTGCCTCTCCCCACCCCTGCCTGCCTGGGGCCAGGGAGGGCCTTCGCGGGGCTTCTTTGCACTCCCGCCGGCCTTGCAGGTCCACTGCCGGGCCCCTCATGGGGCTCGGCAGTGGAGCTGCAAGGCCGGCGGCGGCGGCCGGGACTGTTGGGGGTGGTGTGTGTGGCCTTATGACACACCTCCGGTGATGTCAGGGGGTGTGGCTTCCGGTGATGTCAGGCTGTGTGGCATATGCTAATGAGTAATGCTAATGAGTTCCCCTAGCTCTTTTTCTACGAAACGACCCCTGGTTATACTTTATGGCATGCTCTCACATTGCAAGCTGCTTTGACTCAATGGAGAAAAGTTGAGTAGAGGTATCTAAAATCATAAATGAAATGGATCCCAGAACCACAATGGCCCCTGGTTCAGCTGATTCTATTGCCAGCTTCCTTACCATTTTTATTTAGTTTTGTTGTGCTTTATTATGCTTTTTTTTCAATTGAAAGTCAGGGCTAAAAGTCTGCTAAAGTCCAGTCCTTGTGGTCCAGCATTATTTGCTGATATCTGATACCTCTGAAGTTCATAAGAACGTAAACGCAACTTATCAACTTTACTATAATGAGAAATAAGTCTGTAGAAATATCGTGTCTTATAAGATAAGATTTCAAATTTTTTACACTGTAAATTTATTTTTTATTTACAATGTTACTTTTTCATCAGCATATTATAAATCAAAACCCGAAAAGGTCCAAGGCAGCATAAAACAGCAGTACATCGATTTACTTGCTTTTATTTACATAAACATGCACATCAGTGTCCTCTGCAAACAGTATTTGACGAGGGGGGAATTAAATTATCAAGATCAACAAATGACAAATTATAAAGGCTCACAGTTGAGAATGGAACAGTTACAATGATTTTTTTCGCTGAGTGAGAGCAAGAAACCCTCCACACTTTTCACGTTAAAACCTATTACATATTTACTATCCAAATATTGCATCAATGTTCCATTCTGTTTCATAACAAAGCTGATATGCAAATAATGGATAAACAACAGATGAGCACTTCTGCTGTACCACTGATATTACAAGAATAAGAAACAACATCAATTGGTTTAAGCAGGAGCTGTCAATGCCTAGCATACAGCATATTTTCATTGCTATATTTGAAAGCTACAATTTACACATCACTTTGCGCTCCATGATTTACCAGAGTCTGCAAAAGCAGATACATCTAAACCTTCGCCACTGCTGCACTGTTCATATAAAGTCTGAAATTTAAGAAAGCAAAACAGATCATCAGATGCCAGTGCCTTCTTTTTTCAAATCACTCTTCAAAACTCATAATAGCTTTTGGCTCTTCTTACTCAACTAAAGCCCAAATACACTTGCACATATTATCTTTGCTTCTTTCTCCATTTGTTATCTTTACTTGTCCATTCTATGCACAATCTGCCCCACTGTTGAAATTTAGGTAAGCTCACTGGGACAGGGATTTTCTTTGCTGATGCAAATCGACAGTACTCCACAGATGTAAAATTTCTGATTTTGTTGAAATCATGGATTTTTTCTAGATCTAGATTTTTTCTAGATCTAAAAGCCTATTGTGGGAAAACATTATTATGCTGCCTATTATCCACTGAGTCACATCTTGTGTGATATGCCCCATGAAGACAAGACATGACCTGATAGACACCTATTCTGTGCCTAAAACAGGGATGGCCTGGTTGCAAACACTGGGCCTCTGAGTATTTTATGTTAGGATTGCCATCTGATTTGGTTTGTTGCAACATGTTTCTTAGAAGACTGGGTAATTCAAGTCTCTCCCCTATTTCTGGAAATACACAGTTGCACACATTCAGACTTAGATCCACCCCCACCCCTCATATTGAGTAGTATCAGAAAATGCAAGAAGTAATAGATCATGAAACATACTGCTGATAAACTAGGTAATGGAAGATCTCAAATTCTCTTCCTTTAAGACCCATTACTTCATCAGCAATCCCTTCTCTGATCCTTTATTTCTAGCATTTTTTCCACTACCACTCAGTTTTCCTATCCTATTCCTCACTAGTAACTTTTTACATCCCAAGTATACATCCCTCTTATGTCTGACATGGAACTTTGTCACTTTTATACTCTCTATAAGTACTAAATGCATATTACAAATATGAAGTTACTTATACTAGCAGTACTATCTTACCCTAGCAGCTCTAGTAATGGAGTTAGGAGAGTTCAGGCCAATAAGATGACCAAGAATACGCTTCATTTCTTCTGTTGTTCCTTTTGTATCCCCTAAAGGTTTAAGAGTAACATAACAAAAAATGTACACATTAATTTTCTATCGCTTCTTAAATTGAAATCTTGAGACCTGCAATATTACCACCAGGTATTTTGTTTTTTTTTAAAGGATGAACAATTTTAAACACACAAGATTCTCATCACAGAAACCCAACTTGATACCCTCAGAAAAACACTATCCACCAAATGCCACTTGAAATACAACTGCCTTTCAGGCTCTGTGTGAAAAAAACAAGAAAAGTAACTTTGTATGTCCTCTGGCATTCCATCCCTGAATGGATGGCCTACAAACAGAAAAGGTTTTGGACCACAGTGGCAACATGTAATCCATTCAAACAGAGGGCTCATCTAGAAGAAGGTGCACAGAAGACCTCAGTTCCCACCTGGCTTCATACAGGGAGAGGCTATCATTCATACTTCTTAAATTCATAATCAGCCCACACACCATTTTTGTCCACAACATTCTGGTGAAGGTAAACAATCTGCAATATTAATTTCATAACAGCTATTTAAGTTACCTGTTTGTGAATTGGCATGAATATGCACATAAGGATGACTCAACAATTCAGAGACTGATATTCTTTCTTTCGGATTCCTTACTAAACAGCGCTGGGTAGTAAGGAAAAAAAAGAATTAGAATGTTTGGCCTCCAGAGAGATCATCATTTTCTTAATACATCTACAAATAACTTGCTTTTTGTTTTTTAAGGAGAACAGTTATACCTAATGAACTAACTACGCAATCCATTTATCTAGTTCATTTCCACAGAAAGACTCACTGTGCAACCAATTCTCTAACATATGTGATAGGACTAAGCCTGTTTTAATGTGTTGCCCTCTGCGGTACTTCAAGGGAGATTTTCAAAGATTCCTTATGCAGAGAGGTTATGTGATTGTAGAAGAAAGGAAGTAGAAAGTATTGAGCATGTCCTTTTGTATTGTGATTATTATGCTGACATTTGTGTTAAGTATTTAGATTGGTTGTTAATGAATTTAATAGGCCAATCTGATAATTACAAGTCCTTTTTTCTTCTTTCCTCAAAAAATGCTGTAACTGTTAAAATAGTGGCAACTTTTTTGTATCTGGCTTCTAAAAAGTGAGATATGTGTTGACTGTATTGAGTACTCCTTATGTTTTGTATACTTCTTAGTGCATAATGCCAATAAAGGTTGTTGTATTGTATTGACAGGATTAAGCCACTATTAGAGTCATCACAAGTGAAGACCCGCAACAAAATGTTGGGTACTGGGCCTCGCTCCCCCCCCGCCCGCCTGGCTCCGAAGCGAGGCCCTAGCGGCTGCAGCCGCCCGGGGCTCGCTGTTCCCCCGGCCGGCCGGCTCCGAAGCGAGGCCCAGGCGGCTGCAAGCCGCCGCCGCTTCGGAGCCAGGGGTGGGCAGAGACCAGCGAGGCCTCCCCCGCTCCGAGGCAGCGGTGGTGGCGAGCCCGGCTGCAGAGCGTTTCCTGCGCATGTGCAGGAAACGCTCAGTCAGTTTCGGGGGGATTTAAATATCCCCTGATATTTTTTTGGGGGGGTTAGATTTTTGTGCACACCTGGGGCCTGCTCCACATGTGCACAAAACTCTCCCTCCCCCCAGCTGCCCCCGGTGCGTGGATTTAGGTATCCGCACACCAGGGGGCGACTTCAGAATTAGATATATAGATAATGCACATGTGGATCCATTAAAATTGGTCCTATTGCACACATATATTGGGCATTAGTGTTGGTAGATACTCTGAACAGAGGTAAGCTAAGATACAATAGAATGCAGTCACTCTGTTACTTTAAAAATAGCAAGGTGTTGTAAAACCTGTCATTACCAGAATAGCAAGACATTATGTGATAATATTAAATAATGGATATTCCAACAGTTCTGGCTTCTTCTACACCACTTCTATAGTATCTACAATTGTCAGTGATACCAAGACACTGATAGAGAGAGACACACAAATCTCCCTGGGGAGGGAGTTCCAAAGTTTTGGAGCCATAACAGAAAAGGCCCTTTCTTGGATTACCACCCACCATGGCAAGGGAAATTGAAGCAGGAACTCTAAGGATGATTGGAGTTAGTATGTAGCTTCGTTATTGGAGAAGGCAGTCCTTATGTTGGTCCTGGGCCATAGAGGGCTTTAAAGGTCAAACCAGCACCATGGATTGAGCCCAGGAGCAAATGGGGAGCCAGTATAGGTGGAACAAAACTAGAGCAATATAGTCCCCATGAACTACTTCAGTCAACACTCTGGCTTCAGTATTCTGTACTAACTGTAACTTCCAGAGAGTCTTCAAGGGCAGGCCCAAATATAGTGCATAGCAGTAATCTGATCTAGATATTACAGGGCATACACCACAGTGGTCAGATCTTGTGTGTCCAGGAAGGGCTGTAGCTGGCTCAACAGTCAAACCTGCTGAAAATGCACCCCAGTCACTGCTGCCACCTGTTTATCCAACAGGAGGCCTGGGTCCAGGAGCATCCTCAAGCTATGAGCCTGTTCCTTTAGGGGCTGCAATTCCATCCAGGACAGGGAACAACCAGTTTCCTCAATCAGACTTTCCCCCCACCAGTAACACCTCAATTGTTGGGATTAAGTTTCAGCTTGTCAGCCCTCATCAATTCCAAAACTGTCTCTGAGCACTACATTACTTATAGCATGTTCAATATGAAAGGGAGGACAAAGCAAATAGAGTTGCTCAGTTTAAGTTGTATCACTATATTAAAAATAATAATTATATAATTTTAACTAAGACATGACTCTAACATGTCAAGAAAGAGGAGTGGTGGTGTGGGGGGGGGGGGGGGGGGGGGGAAGCCAGCATAGACCAGGGATCTCCAATAGGTAGCTCATAAACTGCTGCAAAGTAGATTGTGCATCTCTTAGAAGACCCAGCATTTATTTCCTAGGACTTTTCTCTGTGGTGTTTATCTAATAAAGTTCAGTTCTGTGCTCTTCCTAGACCATGTTCCATTGGTAGAACAGAACAAAACTTGATGACACGCTGTGCAGGGCAGGGGGGAATCACTCAGGATATTGTTTGTTACCCAGAAATTGGTCTCATTAAAGGAAATATTGGAGACCATGGCATAGGTATTTTTTTCCATAAATGATTAAAAAGTCAGAAATTAAGTCATATTTATGATTGCATGGTAACCACACTGCACTCAGACATATTACCTTTAAGACATCCAGGAGATCTTTTTCCGTAATATCAGGAAACGCTATTTCATAACTAAGGTCAATTATGGCATGAAGTTTTGTGATATGATTTGTTATGTGTTGAAATGGAGTTCTCCCATAAGTCATACAATATAAAATGCATCCCAATGACCAGACATCATTTTTGGGACTGATCTAAAAACAAAAGGTGCCTCAGACAATTAGGACCATCACTCATTGTTACAGAATATAACCTACCTGATGTAACAAAATATCACTTAAGCAATAAGAAGAGGATGTAAACCTTGATCAATGATACACCTTTTGTGAAGATATCTACTGCCCAATTAAGACAATCAGCTGTCAGGAGAAATCAATCTGCTCACAGCAAAGTCAAAAGAATATATATAACCATAAAAGAATTTTAGAAATAACAATAACGGTCCCATCAAATGGCTTTTCAAGACATTACAATGACTAGAACATGTGGTTCATAAAACTTGTTTAAGAAACTAATGCAGTGATGAAGTACCAAATATGAGAGAATGTTTGGCTTCTGGTTCACACTACAGTTGAGTTACTGTGCTTGCAGGCTGTGCTCTGTCACTAGGGCATTTATCTCTGTGTTTTTCTCTTTATATATTTGTTTTATGGGTTTGGAAAAAAGGTAGTTTGGAAGAGTAAGAAATAATTGGAGTGCAGAAGAGTGAAAGGTAAGTGGCATGAAAGATACCAAACTAGCTGAGTGATAAGGAGAGAGAATGTTCTCTCATCATTCAGTGTAAACTGTGAACCACGAACCCAACCCACTAGATTATTTGTGTTTAAGTCTGCCTAGTCACCAGTAGACACAAGGGAACCCAGGTAAGGGGATGGAATTGCGCGGGAAACCCCAGGACAGAGCGGCGGCCGAGCTGCCTGTGCCTGTGTCTTCGGGTGGGGGTGTTCCTGGTGCGTGTGGAGGGGGAGGCAAGTCAGCGGCCGGCGGCGGTCTGAGTTCTCTCCCACCCACTGCAGCCTAGGCCCCTCTTCTCTGATTGGGCCAGTGTTTCAAGGTCATTTGCATATGGAAGCTGATTGGACTTCACTCCATTCCGCACCTCAAACTCCCCCCCCCAAGACAGTTGGAACTGTCAGTTGCATATGGGACCCGGTGTATTTTGAGGTAAAATATGTCCTCACTCGCAACACATCACTTCTCCTTCAAAAGAAACACACCGAATAACACAATCATGCCACACCACAAAAAAGACAGATCACACCACAAGCAGAATACCACAAGGCAAAAAATGATAGGAAAAGGTGCCAGCAGTCACCCCATTACTGCCACAGATATGTACCTGAGAGCGCTTCAGAGGTCCCAGGTTCATGTTTTAAAAGCTGCCTGGGGGATTATGGACCATTCACACACTTTCAACCTTAACATACCTCATAGGGTAGTTGTGCGGATCATATGGGGGAGAGGAGAATGATGTCAGCTGCTTTGGTTCCCACTGCAGGGAAAGACTGCCCTTTCCCTAGGCAGAGGCTGGGGATGGGGGGGGGGAGATGTAAACCTGAAGACAGACAGGCAGATAAAGGTAGGCTGATGGTTGCTTGGAAAGGACATAAGGTTTCCAACTCCAGATTGGAAACTTCCAGGATATTTTAGGGATGAAGCCTGCTGAGGGTGGGGTCTGAGGAGGAGGAAGAGGGGGACCTCAGACAGATACACCATAGACCCCACCCTCCAAACAAGCTGTTGCCAATCTCCAGGTGACAGCTGGAGAGCTCTTAAAGCTCTGGTGCTAATTCAAAGTGCTGGGGATGTGTTCAAGGCTCCCTCTAAGCTGTGGAGTCCTGTGAGCAAAAACTCTACTTGGTGAGCTCCTGGCATTAAAGTTGTGAGCGAGCGATTTGGGTGCTGCATGAATTAGTTTGCTCTGGAGCCCTCCTTCCTGAGCTAAGACAAAAATCTGTGAGCCGGAGGCTAAAAAACTGTGAGCTAGCTCACACTAACTCAGCTTATGTGTTGCATTCTGGCAGGGGACGCTGTGAGTGTAGAAAACGATTTATCGACATAGTAGT